AAAAGCTATTTTGCATTCCTGTAGAATAGGGTACCCATTTTAGATCATATGTACTGTCTTTGAAGTTGTCTTTTCTTTTCATGAAAAGCCAAAATATAACCATTCCTGTATCAAGCAGCATTTTAGTTGACTAATAACTATGTAACTCACTACAACTGGAGGGTCAACTGAAATTCTTGGAAGACACAATGTGAGTGAAATAAAAATCCCTAGAAGACATTAAATTGAATGAAGATGTTGTGGAGGCTCCAGCCTTGGAGATACTCAAGATCTGACAACACAACCCTGGGAAACCTGTTCTGCCTGACTCTGCATGGGCAGGGATTTGGACTACGTGTTATCCAGAGGTCTCTTCCAGCCTCAACCATTCGGTGATTCCGTGAAGTTGTTTCCTTAGTCTAATCAATGATTAAAAAGCCACTTAAATTAGACTGGAAATAGACTACATAACTATCCTAGCAGAGCCCTTAGAGTTTTCATTCAACACTCTGCAGTGCTTTGAAACGCTATTTTTTGAGAACAGAGCAGCAGGTTCTTCCAATGCAACCTAAAGTTTTGCTTCAGCAGCAAGAACCCAGTTCTTATTGTAAAGTTCGCTTGGAAGTCCACCAAATAAATCCTACTTGCACAAATAGTAAGAGCTGGTGCACAAATAGGAGAGAAAGCCTACATCATCAAGCTTGATATCTTCAGTAGGCTGGGAATTTTTTTTTTTTCTGCATATGTTGAGCATTTTTGTTACCTTTCAGAACAGTCCGTTGTGGGATGCCTCCCAAAGAAAAATCTCTGCATCATCCAACAAACCAGCTTTTTTCTTCAGAGCCAGGAGAGCTTTGTGAATTGAATATTCTAATAGTGCTTCTAGAGATGTGTTAAACAGCAACCTGGTCTTGTTTATGCACGTGTGACAAGCTAGATATCCTCCGCTATGTCCTGTTAGAAAGTGTTCTGGACATAGGGCTTCAACAATATGCTGTCCCTGCTTACAGTTTACCATACTTCAACTTACAGAACCCAGATTTCTCAAATCCCTTTACAAAGAAGTGCTATTATCAAGTCTTCTGTGGATGATGTATGAGCCTGAGTTTTAAAGTTATTTTCTTTGAGAATCAACTTTCTCAGCTTCAACCTTTCTCTGCATCAGTGGGAACACAATTGAAATGTATGATTATTTTTCTATTTTGCTAGATCAGCTGTTATATGTACTAGATTTTATTTGCGTACATTACATAATGTTATTAGGATCATATTAATTACGTAACTTTTAAGCAAGGACAATTTTTTTGGGGCAAAATAGTTATCTCGAACTTTCAGACTCTTCAGATAAGCAGGCTTAAGCCCTGCCCTTCCTGTGACGAACAGATCTGTTTCCGTCTTCGTCCGTGTAAGCTAGAAGACCTGTTGTGGAGGATCCTGGGACTTGGATTCTCAGCAAAACAAAGTTTTTGGTAAGTGCGTGCATTTGTCTAACTGAATATAGAATCTTCTAAATGCTTGTTGACTACCTTAGATAGAATCAATTAATTGGACATTGAGAGGGCGCTGTCAAATGAGGCACTTAGACTTTGAGAGAAAGCCTACATCAGAGAGCATTTTTAGGAGGGGCTGGAGGTTAAGGTATGTTCCCAGATCCATCCACTTCTCATCCATGTGCGTTCTTACGGCCAATCTGCAGATTTCCTCAGAAATGCTTTAGGCAGACTGTAGGCGGTCTGTCCGCGGGTGTCTGGCAGTGCACTGTTCATCTGAGCGCACGGTAAAGATGCACTAATGCACCTTGTCTGCTTGCGTACGCAGCGTGCTCCCCAGAGGCTAACCTCCGGTTATAACCAGAAAGTTATTAGAAACTATAATAACCCATCAGAACTTTAATCTAACCTATATATAAAGAACTATAGCTATTACAGTGTAATAACTTTCTGGTTATAACTGGAAATAACTGTTATAGTATATAGTATAGTTTTACTATAAAACTATACTATTATACTATACCATAGCAAAACTATACTATTATAGTATAGTATAACCATAATAGTTATTTATATTATTATACTGTATTTTCTCTTATATATTTATTATTTTATTTACTGTATTCAAGTTGTTATACTAGAATAGCTATAGTTCTTTCTATATAGATTAGAGTTCTGATGGGTTATGCATCGGCTTCATCTCACTTAAGGGAAGTCCCTTGTCTGCAGAACACAAACATTACAGCATTGCCCCAGATATAAAGTAATGTCTTGGCCTGTGGAAATCAACCGCTGATTTGAAAGGAGCCAAGTTTCTGTTTCATTTGCAGAATCCGTGTTAGGATCACTGCCTGGGAAGGTGAGCCACTGTTGGCTAGAAGAGTGGAGCAGAGCTGGTCCTGTTGGATACATAATGGACTGCTCTGTGCCTCAGCCCTTCAAGTGAAGCTCTAACCATGTTTTAAAAAGAGAGAAAGGTAAATAAAGCAAAAAAATCTTCATTATTAGGCAGCTGAAGGATCCACAAAAATTACGGTTAACAGGCTTGTGTCCATTTACTGAGATCAATCTCCCAGGGAAGCTCACGAACAGCAGTAACTGTGATGAAGCAGCAGCTGAGAGCTGTGAGAACGGCTGCTCTGTCGGCCTGCCTTGCATGTAATCAGCTTTTCTTGTTAATGTCTGAAATCCCCTGTAAGTCAGGACAACAGCAGGATCTAGTGGCAAAACTGAAGTGCTTTGCAGCCCCCTTTTAACTGATAACCTAATTGCACTGTATGGAGCGCCCGTTGCCTTTGGCTGACAGCAATGATGGTGTAGAGAAAGAGCCCTCATGAGTTTAAACATAAAGTGTGATGCAAATGGTAAGAAACTTTTTCTTTAATGAGCAAGAAATCAGCCTTCGTAGAATCATAGATACTTTAGGCAATTTTCATACTAATGCACATAAATGATCATCTTCCGAGCCTTGGACATAAAGGTCACCACGCTTCCTCACGCTAAGGAACAAATCCACAGAATCCCCTTTGCCCAGCACGTCCCTGCCACACGTTGCCACAGCAGCCCGACCCCAGCATCCCTCCCCAGGCTGCTGCTGAGCTCCCTGTGACCCGCTTCAGCGCCTCCCCAACCCCACCACCTTCAGCCTTTGAAGCGTTGCCCTGGTCCCCTCGCTGCCCCATCACACAGCACTGTCCCGTATTCAGCGATCCCCCCCCCCCGTGCACAGTGCTTCCAGGCATCTCCTGTATGGGTGATGTACATACCCGTGGAGCACCAGCCCTCCATAACCCCGGGAAGTGCAACGTTTCACCCTTCCCGACCCATGCCGTGTCCAGTACCCGGTCAGAAACACCTTGCTGCACTGGTTCCTGTCGCATTCAGTCCGTACCTTCAATCGCTGTGGGGACCTGTACCTTTGTGGTTGATGGCATTCTGCTCCAGAATGCGGAGCAGAACAGGTTTGCTAGGTGTGAGTGCAGGAGTGCACAGGGAATGGGAGTGGGAATCACGGTGGGAAGGGAAGGGAAGAAGAGGTAGGACTAGAGAAATGTAGACCTTGGATTGGTTTGGCCCTGTATTGCAGTTTCCCTGTACCTGGTGTCAGTTAACAAAGTTTTTTCCCTAAATTCTTAACTGCCCTCTAGAGTGTTAAAATGGAAACATTTTTAATAGAATCAATTTTATTCTTATTGACCATTTTTCTACAGAATTCTGCTTAACCAATAAAACTAAATGAGCCCACTTTACGTTCAGAACTCATTGTTGGATGCTGAAAAACTTTGAAAGAATTTTTGTTTGCCTCAGAGCAGTTTCTTCTGAAACGTGGAAAAATTAACTCCCTATATGTACCAGCTTCTTTTAACAAAACTGGAACATCTGACCAAGTTTCCCTTAAATCCTAGAAGCGAAAGGCTCTGTTGTTCCTCATAGCCAAGGAGCAGAGGGAAAGCTGAGTCAAAGCCATCCTCCTCCAGCCTCTTGGCCTGGTCCTGATGGAAAAACAACTGCTCGGGACAAGTCAGAGCAGCCCGGGGAGCTGGAGCAATGCCTGGGGAGTGCTACATGCCTCATCCTGCCAGCGCAGAGCACAGCCTGCCCTGCCTGGGCTGCGGGGGAACGGGGGGGGACATATCCCCAAGAGGGCCTGGCCTTATACCACCAAAGAATTTCAGGGAGATTTAAACTAAGAAGTGATTTTGCCCTAACTGTCTTAAGCCCTTGAACATTATCTACTCTAAAGACAAGGAAACACGTGTGGAGTAAGTACAGAAAGAGAGGGGTGGCCAGAAAAGTGAGGAGATTTCTGCGAAGTATTCAGCCATATGCCGGGAGGAGGCGACTGGTGAGGGGCTGCGCGTCTGACCAAATTATGTGCTGGCTTCCAAGTGTTACTGGGATCAGCTCAACTTTGGCTGCAGCATCTCAGAGCTTCCACATAACTAGAGCAAAGCTTTTTTAAAATAAACAGTAATTGCCTAAAATCAGTAATTGCCTAAGACATCAGCTAACGTCTTAAGTGAATGTCTTTATTTTGCATCCTGTTTCTTAAGGATTGGCTGCTTTTACCCATTTTGTATTCAAACAAGTACACAGAGTCTATTTATTTATTTGATAATTACATATTTATTACCCAGACTTTCCCAGCAAGCTGAGTAATTTCTCTTGCACGCACAAGTAAATAACAATTTTTGTCCTGATTACCCTTTCTTAGGTGACACATTCCCTCTTCTTCTGTTTACTGCCATTTGAACCGCCCTTGCCCGCAGCACACAGCATTGCTATGCCCCCAAGAAAACTGTAGGCTTGAGGAGACTAAAGGTTTAAAAAAACATGACTCAGACACAGATTTCAAATTGGATGCATTTGCATATGTTCCCCAAATATTTGAACAAAGGTGCTTGTTTAACACCATGACTTCTTTGCTGAAAGCAGGCCTGTGCCATTTCTTCCTCGTGCAGTTGTCCAGCGGTTACAGTGGCCTGGTGCTGGCACCCATGAAGCTCGCCTGAGTATAGCGCAGGATGCTGAGTGGCTGGGTATGCTGTGCAAGCGCCAGAACCGCAAGTGAAAGGGAAAGAAACTCCAAGACTGAGTGGGAAGGAAACACTGAGGGGAGACTCAGAAATACTGGGAAAGAAAGTCAATGAGGATCCAACCAGCAGAGGCAGAAGTGAAAATCAGAGGTAACTCTCCCCATCTCTTTAGCGTTTCTCACGCCAAAGACATCCACGGCTCCATTTTGTGGAGGGGGATGTGGAGAGAAGCCGAGGCAGGGGGCAGCTTGGCTGCGGCCGCCAGCAGGCCGGGGCCGCCCGGGGGGAGAGCCCGCGGGCGGG